AGGTCCCACAAGGTAGTGAGGTAAATTTTGCTTTTGCCAAACCCAAAATCTTATTTCTGACTTTAAATTGAATCTCTCTAACTTTTACCAAAAAAAAAAAAGAAAAATTGAATCTCTCTAACAATCAGCATTGTGGACTGAAATTTCTGTCTGTGAATCCTGTTATTTCTTTCTTACCAGATATCGTATACTGTAGCATTCCACACTATAGAATTGAGTGAGCCAGCCAATGATGTTTATGTTGAATTCACCCACCCTCAAGAGAGATCCTGCCCTGGAGAAGTGCACAAGGGAAAATAAAAATGAAGATTTGGAAATAAGAGATCCTACCCCGAATTTGTTCAATCGCTTGATATATTTCCATATACATGCTATGTTGGGGTATAGAGAGTACAAAATGTGGATAAATATTGGATTACAAGATCCTAAAGAACCAACAACATTTGGAAAACAGGGGTGCAATTCACGAGGATAAAGAAGCCTTTCCCCCACAAGCTAACCCCACCATGACAAAACCACCAAAACCACCAAAAACAATCTAAAAGCATGCTTGCTTGCTAGCATCCACTTCATGAAACTCAAGTCTTCTTTTCACATTCTTCATACTCCAACTAATATCTCGAACCGTCATCCTGAAACAAACCTAGCTTCAACGATTGTGAAGAGGATCCGACGCGTTTGGAACTTTCCTCTTGTTTGAAAAGAACGCACCAAAGGAATGCCTCAGCCCTTGGCGTTGCTGCGGCTCTTGCTTTGGCTTGATCTCTTGCAGACTTGCAGAACGGCTGTTTCCGCCAACAACCATCGTCTCCTCCCCTCCCGCCATCAAGAATGACATAACTAACATTACCACCATTATTTTCGGCCAAAATTGCATGCTTTTGCCTTGAGAGAAATCGTGATTGATTACAATTTCTCTAGTTTGTGGAGAGAAACAGAGAGAAAAAGGAAGGAGAAGATGACACCTGAATCTGCTTTCTTCAAAGCAAGTGAAAGAAAAATACTACACATGAAAGGGGCAGGGAAAGCTATGCGGCTTTATTTGGGAATGTAAGAAAAAGAGAAGAAAAGGTGAAGTACTAGTACTCGCATTATTGAGCACACCTCGCAAACAAAGGAGAAAAAGACACGACCCACGAAGAAACTTTTCTACTTTCCCTTAAATAGTATTAATTTTTTCGTGCTTTACGATACCTTTTTCGCTTCCCATTTTGCTCTACCTCTAGCTCAAAGTCCCTTGAATAAGGGTTTTTTCAGCATCAGGTTTATATAGAGACCATACAGATGTTGGCTGTTGTGCTTTTATCTTTGTTTGAGTATTATCTGTAAGGTGGTCAAATTTCTCTTTATAGGTGGAGTAAAAAGTGGCTTTTGCATATCTGATTTTTTTTTCTTAAAAAAATGGCTTTGGCTGAAGTAAGTTTGAGGCTAAGCGTACGGCCAAGCTTTAGTGGTGATTTGCAGTGATACTTACATATAGTTTATTCATGAAATGTTACTTCTTCTTCTTTTTTTACATTAAAGGATTAATTATTTATAAATATAAAAATTTAAATATCTAACCTTATGTCTAGTACTTAGTGACTTAATGGTCACTCCTTTAAAAATGTGTGATTAGACATAAATAACCTGAATTGTATTCTCGTGTCTTACTTTCTTTTTCCTCTTAAAATTCCTTCATGTTAAAAAAAAAAAAAAAAAGTCTAACCTTATCTTCAAATCAAAATTTTTAAGTTAGTTGATATTAATTTAGTCAAAAACTTATTGATTTTATGAAAAGTTAGTAACATCCTGATTAAATAAATAAAAAATCTTATTAGTTAAGTTAACTTTAATGGTTGTCAAGTGGACTCAGCATATTTGAATTGGCCTGTTATTGTTCTGAGTAAAAATTGCAAAAACTAAAATATTTTACAATCTTTGTATAGACCGCATGATCTGAGTGGTCAGATCTTGTCCAATCCAACGAACCAAAGACCTTTCCCAGCAATCTTTGAAATCTACAAAGCATTCATCAACACTGGGTTGAGAGCACTAACAAATAGTTCATTGTTGTAAAAAATGGAGGAAGCAAAAGAATTGAATAAATGTACTAGAAACAAATTCAATATTTAACTAGATGAACAGGCTAATTTGTTGTAAAAGATGGTGGAGGAAGTAAATATGTTGGATGCACGCTTGAATGATGTGTTGAAGCTTTCTTAAGCAGACTTTGAATTTTTTATTTTTAGCATGCATATAAAGAATGAAAGATTCAGGTCTGGCTTTCTTCTAACATCCCTGTGTTTATTGGCCCTAGTGTGATCAAATTGTTTATCCACAATAAAAAGTGGTTTCTAAAGTATTTCAGGTTGTTAATGATTAAAAAAAGTGAAGTGCAGTACTTTATTTAATCATTAACAGAAGAGACAAAATAATAAATTTTTAGCTTTTATTTAGATAAAAATTAATAAAGAAAATGGAAAGAAAGAAGCAAGGGGTAAGGAAGAAATTAATATTGAAATTATTTAAATAGACAAAAGTAAAAGGCAGGAAAAGACAATATTTTTATTTAATTAAATAATTTAAGAAAATATATTACAATATAATTTTAAAAATCATTTATTAAATAAATAATTAAAATATTTATAGTTATTTATCTTTAAAATTTTTGAAAAAATCAATCGCAATTCCTCCAAATTAAAAGAAAGAAAATAAAAGAAATTAAGGAGGCTTGATCTCTCTCCCCCCTTACTAAAAAGAGTAATCCAAAGGAAAAAAAAGCACATTCCCCACCCTCTCCTCCCACTTTGCTCCAAATCCTCTAATTCAAATGCATTGTTAATATTGAGAATCCAATCCTTCATTAATGGTCAATGAGTGCAAAACAAATTGCAAAATAGCATTCTATGAATGACTAATTCTATTAAAATTGTTGTACAGTCCCACCAACTGCTTTTATATTAAGTGCTTTTACTTTTGAACAATCTAAAATTTAAGATGTTACTCTTAGAGTTACATTCGATGGTAAGATAAAAAATGTGCAGCGCTTCTTCAAAGAGATTTTGATTTATGAACATGAACAGCTTTACATCATTTGACACTAAACAATTGCAATTACGCAAAAACTTTAAGCATGTTCCAAACAGAAGCTAAAACATCTAATTCACCACCTAGAAGTCAAGAAGTAGCTAACTGCTCAAAAAATCACTAGCATTGTGTATTCCACCCATGTTAGAAAGACCTGCAGTCTGCCCCAATCATTGTGAAGGACCACTTCCATTCCTTGCACCCACACTAGTTAAGAGCCCTCCAATCCATCCATGATTAGCAAGCTTGATTACCAGCCAGCCGCTTCCATTTGCACCATCTTCTCCGCGGAGTTAAGCTATATAGATTACCACAGTTTTAAAATTTTTTCCCCCCAACATTTTCAAAAAAATAAAGTGGTATTTCAGGAGAACAAGGCATTACCGCGACATTTTTGAACTGCCAAGAGAAAGTGACAATGACTTATATTAGATTTTAACTTGCAGATTATGACCAATCAAACAGTAATTTAGGCACACTTTGTGATAGTGAAATACCTTATGCTGCTTGTATTTTTCTCTTACTGCCTGCAGAGCACCTCCTCTTCTACTGAGATACAAATCATGTAAAATGTGGACACATTCTTTTAAATCAGATGACTTGTAACCAGATAGTTGCTGCAAGGCTGAACTCTGAAAACACAATTGACAAGTCAATATTTGCTAGCCATACATGGAAATCAATTCCATAGTGTCATATACTCGTATGAGTTTAAACTCCTTACCCAAGGATGTGCCTTTGGTCGAACTATAGACCTTGCAAGAAATATTACAGATGCAGCAACCAAAGAAGGCAAAAACTTCACACATCCATAATCCAACAAACTCAACTCAGCAAGGTAGTATCCGAGGAACTCCAACTGTAAACTGGAAGCCTGTAACGAAAACAGCAATAGAGTAAGTAACAATTACCAAAAATTTGCACAGATTGGAGAGACATAGGAATCGGCCTTGCCTTAAAATCCTCTTGTGCAACCCTAGTAAATCTCCTCAAAAATGTCTTAATGGTAGGACTACCCAATTCAAACTTCAAGGCCTTTAGTATGTCAGCCTCCATTGTAACAACCTGCATATTCCATCAACCTTTAATAAACCAATGAAATAAAGTAGAAATCGTTAAAGAAAAAAGACCAAAAAAATAAGGGAATAAATATACCTCTTCCTTTGTGTATGTATTATCAGTTATGTAGCAAAAGTCTTCCACATTTGGAGGGCTTATTTCTTCATACTTCCTACTTATAACAATCAAAATAAACCAATGTAAGCAAATCATATCAAAATATTTTCAAAAGCAATGGTACCAACAGATAAAAAATCCCAGAAGCTTACGAGGCAATAAGCATCGAGGAAACACCCAATAACTGAAGCTTCTGCCTGTTTAGAGGCTTCAATGACAGGAATCTATCCATGTAAGAGACAGTGAAATACAGAGTGTCTGAAACAAGCTTGTACTCCTCTGCAACCTCTACCAACCAGTCCACCAAAATTCCCCTCATATTTGCACTAACATCTGTCTGCACCTTCTCAAGATAATCAGGCAAAGGTCTCCTCTTTGGATCCACCTATATACCAATGAATCATTAAGATGAGCCTTTAAGCCAATTGCTTAAAACCTTAAACCCTGCACTCATTACTGAATTGATAGAAAACCCTTAAACGTAGACCCAGTGCCCACCATCAAATCAAACTATAAATCAAGTCCCCCACTTCCAAAAGAACCTAAAAACACACAAGCGGTAATGCAGTTACCATTCAAGCTCAACCCAAGAAACAGTTTAACATTAATTGCCTGGAATCAATCTAGGTTAAAGAAGAAACACACATCTCATTCACGATAACTGGATCAGAAAGAATATGGAATTGAGCATCGAAAGTTTAATTACCATACCCAAATAAGAGAAACCCATCTCTTGA